GGGATAAGTTCAAAGAAAGTGTTTGAGATATGAGATATGATAAAATGCAGCTAAGGATTCCTGTTAAAGGGGGGAAAGGCAAAAGATTCAGTGAGCATGCCCAAGGCCTTGGTTACAGCAGAAGTATATTCTGGGATCCCAGCTCTTTATTTTTATAAAAATAAATATAGGCAAGGTGTAAGAGGGATGGGCATGGACCAGCTCACGGACCTAATTTTTTCATGGACTGGGGGCAAGTTCTTGGACCATTTGCCCAGTTTGTGCATTTATATTATTGGAATGCCTGGAGTGTTGTGTTATAGCACTATAGCGCTCAAAGGGGAACATTTTTTTTAAACGCCGGAGTTCGCCCGCGCGGGCAAAAAATGGCGGGGAAAAAGCGGTGCAGTCTGAAATGGCAACCCGCTTCAGATCCAGCTCTTTACCGGAAGGGGAAAGCCATGTGTGAAATGGCAGCCCTATACCGGTTTACTCCACGACAAATCAAAAACGGGTTAAAAACGGTAATGTGAAATTCCTCATAAACTTTATAAAGGACACAAACACAAAGGTTTTTTTTTACTTAAAATAAAAAACATGCTTAAAACATTAGCACTCTTGCAATATTTTGTTTATTTAACAGTGTCTGAACTTCCTGGTCGAAGTCGGAAAAAGGCGAAAGAACTTCTCGGCTACAAAAATCCCTGCAGTGGATGTCTCCGGCCAGGCGGTGACAGTGTGGCGATGTGACATATGGGTCCTGAAGCCTGGTCGACAAGCAGCCGTTGGAAAATGACTGAGCCAAGCCAGAAGACGCTTACACTGTGCAGTGACAGCGTGTGCAATTTAAAAAAATGAATATATCTTGTCCTCCCTATCCCCTTTGAATATTGTTAGTCCCCTGTCTAATGTGTAACTGTACATCGATTTGAGCCCACTGGGGAAAGCGACCCGCAAGGGCCGGATCCAGCCCACGGACTATATCTTTGACACCTCTGCACTAGAGGTACCTGCTTTGTAACTGTGATGAGATCTGCTGCCTTCTTAATAATTGCTCCATCCCTCTGGAATGGCCTGCCAGGTGAGATAAATGGGTGGCAACAGAGAGATGGCCTTCTCTGTGATGGCTCTGCAGCTATGGAACACCCCTGCCCAGTATTTCCCTGCACCTGATTTAATTAGTATCAGGCACTGGGTCAAAGCATTTATTTAACCAGTATTTGAAATGTGTAGGGTTTGTGGTGGTAGCATAGCTCTCCACATGTAAGTATGGTTTTATTTCTACTTGCTTCATTTGCTTTTATTGCTGGGTCTTACATGAAAACATTTATTGATTGAATAGAAAATGTGTATGCTACTGTGCAACTGAACAACTACAACAATAACCTCTGTCCAGAGACCTGTCCAGGGACCACAGAACAACATATGATAAAAATCATTCAAAACCCAGCCGGAGCATAAAAGTTGCATAAAACACTTAGCAGCCAAAAATGATTATTGCGAAACCATCCTCGGTTTGTAGCTTAAATATTGTTTTCAGGTTTGCTTTGCTGTTTGCTGTTATGAAAGCTGACAATTGAGGGGTGGCAGACTGTTAATTGGTCAATTATATGCCAAACAGTGTTTGATTTTTTTCCTGACGCTTCCATAACAGTTCCTGCTGTTGCTACGCTGCCATGGGGGTTGGGGAGCTCGGTCTGTGTCTGGTTAATTGCTACTTCATTCCTTTCTGTGCTTTTTCTGCTTTGCACTGAAATGCTTATCTATACAGATGTGCAGGAGGGAGTTGTATTGTCTGGGTTTTTCCTAGGTGCCGTGGGAGCGTGTTGGTTCTCAGCTTTAGCTACCTAACAGACTCCAAGCTTTATCCCACGCGCGGGAGGGTGCCTAATTGGCCAGTGCTCTGGGGGGGGGGTGCATACGAATACCCTATATCCTATTATGCCATGGGGCTGCCGCCATTCTTAACAGTGCTTATGTTACTGCATCTATAGCTCTGCAGTAAAAGTATTACCGTTCCTGAATGCGTGTACTTCGTTGTTGGCTGTGGGTTCTGACATTCTGTTAAGAATCCTCCATTCTCTATCTCCGTGCATCTCTCCAAAACCGAGATGAGTGACAGAGAGGAGAAACCAATTCCTAAGAAGGACGACTCCGGGGGGGTCCCGACCCCTATCACGACTGGTGGGGAAACTCCCTCAACCCAGGCAACTGTGCCGGTGACTACTACGCAGCCGACGCGGGAGCCATTCCTAAGACGACATCGACCCTATATCCTATTATGCCATGGGGCCGCCACCATTCTTAACAGTGCTTATGTTACTGCGTCTATAGCTCTGCAATAAAAGTATTACCGTTCCTGAATGAGTGTACTTCGTTGTTGGCTGTGGGTTCTGACAATGCCCCTTTCTGAGCTCAGCACCATCCACGTTGGTACTTATGACCCAAGTCTGTATTGCAGGTGATTTATGCTCCATCAGTGTATGAGTCAACATAGGATTTAAAAATAATTTGGATTTAATTGAGATTCAGAAGACCATACTACCACTGCTTGTATGCTTTTGGTCCTGCTTAATTTGTAACTGCAGAAATTCCATTTTCTGTATACTCTGTTTTCCAAAAGCAGTCACATGACTCACAAAGGATGCAATGGTTACCTTTTTTTTGTCTCATGGTGCATTTCATATTGCTTTTCTTTTAACAGTCTGCTTGTGGTTGCATAATTCTGGTTCAGTTGTGAATCTGGCATATGTCAGAGTTTACTTCTAACTCAATAATGAGTAGCTCATAACAGTTCTAGGCTTGTTTGCCTAGTGGTGGGAAGCTAAACAGATTGGCTTGTTCCTCTCTACTCCTGACCAGTGTTCCCTCTAAGCTGAGTTAGTGTGAGCTAGCTCACAGTTTTTTAGCCTCCGGCTCACACATTTTTTGTAGCGCAGGAAGGATGGCTCCAGAGCAAACTAATTTATGCAGGAGCCAAATCACTCACTTACAACTTTAATGCCAGGAGCTCGCAAAGTGGAATTTTTGCTCACACCACAGCTTAGAGGGAGTACTGTTCCTGACCCTAATTTCTAAGCTATAGGAAGCTTTCTTGTTGCACCTTACAGTTGCTGAGCCTTCCTCAGAAGTCTTTGGTGAGGGACTTTGTTAAAGGCCTCTCAGAAGGTGAACAATTCCAGTTGTCAGCATCAGCATTACTTTGCAGTAGTGAAAGCGCCTTGATGCCCCGGTGTTCTTCACACCCTTTTTGTTGAAGAGGGACCATTTGCAAATATTGGCTGTTGCAACAAAGGTTCCAGGTCAGAAAATCCAACCTCACCTATATCAATTTCTCCCTAGGAAATCCAGGTGCTGGTGTTCTTTGAAATACTGAGCATATTCCCTTGTGATGGCGGAGGATCAGGAGCCAGCACAGGCGTGCAAGGCTCCTCTTGAGCCTTCCATGAAGCAGCATACCAGCAACACATACCGCAGCGCTCAACATTCAGAGGCTCTGCTGAGTGGTTTGGTAGCTCTCCGAGACAGCGGCATCCTCTTCGATGTCATCTTGCTTGTGGAGGGGAAGGCTACTGAAGCTCACCGCATTCTCCTGGCTGCATCATGTGACTACTTCAGGTCAGCTCACCACAGAGCTGCAGCAATATTGTGCTCAAACTTGAACACACTGCTATCCTTATTCAGTTAGGATATCTTTGGGCATTGCCAGTGCCATTTAGTAAGCCTGTTTCTGCCTTTTAGCTGTAACTCAGGGATAAGTTCAAAGAAAGTGTTTGAGATATGAGATATGATAAAATGCAGCTAAGGATTTCTGTTAAAGGGGGAATAGGCAAAAGATTCAGTGAGCATGCCCAAGGCCTTGGTTACAGCAGAAGTATATTCTGGGATCCCAGCTCTTTATTTTTATAAAAATAAATATAGGCAAGGTGTAAGAGGGATGGGCATGGACTAGCTCACTGACCTAATTTTTTCATGGACTGGGGGCAGGTTCTTGGACCATTTGCCCAGTTTGTGCATTTATGTTTTCCATGGACTGTCGACAGACTGTGGGGTTTTTTTAAGGTGGTCCATGGGAGCAGTCTGTGGGCCTGGCAATCCAGTGCCAAAGTGTAGATTTGCTCACAACACTGTGGATCTTAGAGGGAACATTAGTTGGGGAGTGTCTGTGTGGCTCAGTCCTAGCTAGCCTGAAGGAGTGGGCGGGCGGGGGTGACATCATTCTTGGCTACATGGTCACAGATGCCAGTGCAAACATGCTGGTGGCAGTGAAGCATGTGCCATTTGGGGGCATCGTCTGCATGGCACCCACCCTGCACCTGGTGGTGAGGGATGCTCTCGGGCTGAGGAGCACCATCAAGCCCACCTGGGACGAGGCCACAGTGGTGACATGTGACCTGCTGGAGGCCTGCCAGCACCTGGCTGCCCACTTGTCACACAGCATCAGGTCTCGCCACCTGCTGCGCGAGAGGCACATGGAGAGAGGGGAGCCTGAACACCAGCTACTGCTGGACATGCTCACCCGCTGGAACTCCACCTATAGGACTGAGTGTCTGGTGGAACAGGAGGGTGTGGTGGCATGACGTCATCTTATCCATGCCCATCCTGCTTGGGGGAACAAAGATCAACATCAAATGACTGTATGACCCTCTCCAAAGTGGTGCATGTCCTGAAGCCTTTCAAGGACACCACTGACATCCTCTGCTCCCATACAGCCAGCCTGGAGCTATGGGCTGGCCTCCACCCTGGAGCAGGGGGCAGCTCTTCTCCCGAGGGCCAGGGCCTTGGCGGAGAGGTTGCAGGCAGGTATGGCCGCCCAGTTGCATTCTCTCTGCCAAGAGGAGGCATACAGGATGGCCTGCATCCTCGACCCCCCATATAAAGGGCAGCATCGCTCTGCACAAAGGGGAGAATGGAGGAAGGACCTCCACAGACGGGTACGGAGGCTGCAGGCCAGCTGAAGTGGCCAGAGGGAACAGAGGATGGAAGAGCTGGGGGGGGGACAAGCCCATCCTGCCAGCCCACTGGTGCCCAGCTGTTCTGGGGTGTCACAGGGGTCAGGGGCAGAGCCTCTTTCGCCCACTGCTCTTTGCTCATAGGCAGAAGAGATATGGAGCACTTGATAAAACCTTTTTGTGGAGGTGAAATCCGAGGGTGGTGAATTACTGGGTGGTGTGGAAACATCAGTCATCTGCATCCCAACCCCTTGGGGCTGCTCCTGCCTCCAGTCCACCCCTCTGTCAGTCCTTCCAATCAAGACCTCCCAGCCAGGGTCCAGAGCACGATGGCAGACCTGGGAAAGCGGCCACATTGGAGACACACATGTTGTTGGAGACCTGCCAATGCTTGGCTGCTACAGCCAAGCATGGGTCCAGCCGAGTTCCTCGGCTGACAAGCTGCACACATTCACCCCCACTGGGATATTTTAACGCTCCCTGCTCACAGGTTTGTTTATTTATAATTTCAATTTAGATACTGCTCTTCCCTGAATTCACAGAGCTCAGGGTGGTTAACAACATAGTATTATACAATTTAAAATCCTAGAGATAAAAAAACCAACATAAGATGGTATCAAAAACAAATTTACAGATTGCATAACTGTCTCACAATGAGCGAGAGAAGGCAGAGTGGGGGAGGGGAAGGGAGTGCTGGATACGATGGTACCTGTTGCTGTCCTCAACCAAAAGCCTGGCGGAACATCTCTTGCCTTGCACGCCCTGCAGAACTGCCCAAGGTCCCGCAGGGCGCAGATGTTATTTGGCAGAGTTACACTAGGTAGGAGCCAGGGCTGAAAAAGCCCTGGCTCTGGTCAAGGACAGTCTTTGGGGCTAGGGACAACCAGTAAGTTGTTCTCAGCAGAGCATAAAGCTCTTCAGGGGGCATACCAGAGGAGGCAGTCCCAGAGATACCTGGGTCCCTGACCACTCAAGGCCTTAAAGGTCAGTACCAGAACCTGACCCAGTACTCCATGGGGAGCCAGTGCAGCTGGCACAGCGCAGGTTGAATGTGTAGAGTCCGTGGCAGGACTCATGGCACTACATTCTAACCGGTTGGAGTTTCTGGATCAGTCTCAAGGGCAGGCCAGTGTAGAGTGAGTTACAGTAATCCAATCTGGAGATGATCATTGCATGGATTACTATGGCCAGGTAAGGGCGAGACAGGAAATTGGTGTAGCTGGTAAAACACCAGCTTGGCAAAGTTTGTGATCTGGACCTCTATAGCTAAGGAGGTATCCAAGACCATGCCCAAACTCTTGATGGCTTGCATTGGTATTAGAGGTGGGCCATCAAGAGTGGGAAGTTGGGACCCCAATCCAGAATCCCACCCAGCCACAGAACCTCCGTCTTAGTTAGATTCAGTCTCAGTTGGCTCTTCTTCAACCATCCCACCATGGCCTCCAACCCCTCTGCCAGATTTTGTGGGATGGTGTCCAGGCAGCCACCCATCAACAGATACAGCTGTTGTGTCCCATCCCCCCAGAATCGTTGCTTCAAACCTTCTTTCTACATCTGCCTGCTTATGATTTGGCCCTGCCAACCTCCCCTCACCCACTCCGTTGGGGAGATGGGTTCCAGTTGTGGCAGCACTCACCCAGGGCTCTGTTTCTGCATTAAAATGCCTTCCCCTCTCAAGCTCGAAGGCCTCTGTACCACACTCTCCCTTGTTGTTGGGATATTTTTCAACACCTGAGCCTCCCTCCATCTGTCCTCCTGCTACAGCCAAGCATAGGGTCTCCACTGGTGCCTGGTTCCTCTGCTGAGGAGCTGCACTCCCCTGGTTGGGATATTTTAACACCTGAACCACCCTGTTCCTCCTGTTACATCCAGGCTTAGGATCTCAGGTCAGCAGGTGCTGGGTTCCTCGCTGGAGGACCTGCACCCCCTTCCTTGGGATATTTTAAGTCCTGGGCCACCAGTGTCCCCCTGGTACAACCAAGCAGAGTGTCTTGAGCTGCACCCCCCTCCTTGGGATGCTCTGACCCCTTTCCACATGTCCTCCTGCTACAGTAGCCACCATGCAGAGTGACTCAGTCAGCACGAGTGCCGGGCAGTGTTCCCTCTGAGCTGAGTTAGTGTGAGCTCGCTCACAGTTTTTTAGCCTCTGGCTCACACATTTTTGTCTGAGCTCAGGAAGGATGGCTCCAGAGCAAACTAATTTATGCAGTAGCCAAATTGCTCATTTACAACTTTAATGCCAATAGCTCACAAAGTAGAATTTTTGTACATAAGACTCCACAGCTTAGAGAGCATTGGTACCGGGTTTCTTGGATGAGGAGCCACACTCCCCTCAAAGGGACATTTTAACACCTCTCCACCTGTCCTCCTGCTACAGCCCAGCAGTGTCTCAGCCAGTACAGGTGCCAGGTTCCCGAGGAGCTGCACTCCCCTCATTAGGATATTTTAACACTACCTGAGCCACCACCTGTCCTCCTGCTACAGTCAGGAATAAGGTCTCAGCAGCACAGGTGCCGAGTTCCTCGGCTGAGGAACACCACCCTTCAAGGGATTTTTTAACACCCTCCCTCCTCACAAGTTGTGTTCCCCAGGAATCATCACTTTCAGCCTCTCCCTGTCCATGTCTGCTTCCTCATGATTTCTGTCCCCCATCTACCTCATAGCGCAGCATCCACCTCATGAGCCCATATCTACCTCATAGCACAACACCCACCTCATGAACCAAGATCTACCTACCTCCTAGCATGACACCTACCTCATGGACCAATATCCACCTATGCAAGCCTCTACCTTGTCAAACATCCACCCATACAAGCGAGCTTGTTTGACTGTACCCAAGATTTCCCCATCTACAGTGACAATGTCCCCAACGAGCAGGTGAGTGGGTGACTGCCTCCCGGGCATGAGGAGAAGGGTTGGCCACCCCCAGAATCCATCCTTACAATGAGTAGGTGGAGGGGTGACCACCTCCCAAGCATAAGGGGAAGGGTTGGCCACCCCTGGTACCTACCCTTACAATGGGTAGCTGGGTGGGTGAATGCCTCCTGGGTATGAGGGAAGGGTTGGTCACCTCTGGAATCCATCTTGACAACTGGGTGACTGTCTCCTGGGCACAAAGGGGAGTGTGGTGGGCCATCTCGAAACCTCAGTCACTAGGGGGAGGCCGGCAGCTGGCTACCTCAAAGAGCACATTCTTCATAATGGATAGGTGGAGGTAACTGGCACCTCCCAGGCACAGGGGGGAGTGTAGTGGGCCACCTCCCAAACTCCAGTCATCAGGGAGTGGGAGTGACCACCTCCCAGGCACAAGGGGAAGGGTTGGTCACCCCTGGAATCCATCTTGACAACTGGGTGACTGTCTCCCGGGCACAAGGGGGAGTGTGGTGGGCCAGCTCCAAATCACAGTCACTAGGGGGAGGCCAGCGGGTGTCCACCTCTCAGGCCAGAGGGGAAGGGTCAGCTCAGTGATTTCCACATAGAGCAGTTCCCTAGGGGCACCTGCTTTGGGGGACTGCTACTTGGCCCCCGCATAGCCAGTCCTCACCAAACATGGAGGGCAGGTAGAGGGGCATCCCAGGAAGGTCCACTGTGAGTTTGATGTCTCTAGCTTGTGGGAGGGGTGTCGTTTGACACTCTCCCAAACCTGCAGCTGTGATTTCCTGGGGGCACCTGCTTTGGAGGGCTGTAACTCAGCCCCTCCTAAATCCAATCATTACCAAAGTTGGAGGGTAGGTAGAGGAGAGTCAGCTGAAGTTTTTCTGCGAGTTTGATGTCTCTCTCCCACGGAGTGGTAGTGTTCTACCTCATCCCGAAGTCACAAACCTTACAAACCAGTCCATTAAATGGAAAGATTTGTGAAAGTTCATGGTCCCTGAAATGCACGAACGTATATGAAACTTCCCATCCCTCCTTAAGAAGAGTCAGGCTGGATCAGCCCAATGGCTCATCTAGGCCAATGTCCAGTTTCTTGCATCCTTTCCTTTTCCTGTGGTAAAATGCTCTTTCAGGTTATGTAATGCCCTATAAAATGTGCACGCATCATCACCCACCATTGTATATTCTGAGAATTCTTGTACCAAAGAGGTCCATAGTGAGGTGGGCATGGTGAAATCCCAATCCACCTTTACCCTATTCAAGACCCCCACACCCCTATATGTACAGGAGTCCTTCATACATGAACTATCTATGGGATGAGTGAGCCTGAAACATTCCAGGTTCCATGGCCAAATCCCAAACAGCAGCATGCATCCAATGGGGTCATTTCCAAATGTTCAGCCATGGAACTCACTAATGATCTTTGGCCAGTCATTACATCTCAGCTTGACCTACCTCTGAGAGTTGTTTATCTGAAAATAGAATGTGATTTATCAGCATCAGCTGCCTTGAGTTCCATGGAGAAGGTGATGGGAAACTTGGGAAATAATTAGATCCTTGGGACGGGGGTATTAGGATACTATATTAATACATGCATTGTATCCAGCACATGATGTGGTACCAAAAACATTCCTTTTGAAAAGAGTGATTAAAGCATTTCTCTCCTTTTGTAGGGGAATGTTTGCTGGTGGACTAAGAGAAATGGAACAAGAGGAGGTTCAGATCCAGGGTGTATCTTATAATGCTATGTGTAAAATCCTAAACTTCATATACACTTCTGAGCTGGAGCTCAGCCTAAACAACGTGCAGGAAATACTCACTGCATCATGCCAACTTCAGGTGAGAGCTGGGGGTTCCAAAAGATGTGTTGGGGAAGGAACACAAGAAAGACCTTCTAAGGGCTGGGGCCATGACTTCCTGTCAACTTGGCATTGGACAGATTTAGCATCCTGTGGGTCATCCACATAGCAATATCCAGGTGGTGGTCTGGAGATGTGCACTTAGAGAATACACACCTTTATTCCCCTTTTGAGTCAGCAATGTTCCAGGCAAGTCACTCGCTAGATGCTGCTAATTAAATTGCTACATGA